TATGGATGTGATGATTGTTCATGTTATGATGGAGTCTCCTGCACTGATAATGTGAGTCCATTGTCTGGTGTGACATGTGGGGCTTGTCCTGCTGGTCTATTCAAAGGAGATGAGAAATGCATTGGTGAGGATTTCAGTCTATGTACTTTTTAACTTATTTCTATTTTATTTGGAAACACAGATAATTCAACTAGTATCAATGATTATAGTATTACTACCTCTGCAACTTCAGTTACTTCTAATGCTGCTACAGCTGCAGTTACTTCTAATGCTGCTACAACTTCAGTTACTTCTAATGCTGCTACAGCTACAGTTACTTCTAATGCTGCTACAACTTCAGTTACTTCTAATGCTGCTACAGCTGCAGTTACTTCTAATGCTGCTACAACTTCAGTTACTTCTAATGTTGCTACAGCTACAGTTACTTCTAATGCAGCTACAGCTACAGTTACTTCTAATGCTGCTACAACTTCAGTTACTTCTAATGCTGCTACAGCTACAGTTACTTCTAATGCCGCTACAACTTCAGTTACTTCTGATGCTGCTACAGTTGCAGTTACTTCTAATGCTGCTACAGCTGCAGTTACTTCTAATGCTGCTACAGCTACAGTTACTTCTAATGCTGCTACAACTTCAGTTACTTCTAATGCTGCTACAGCTGCAGTTACTTCTAATGCTGCTACAGCTACAGTTACTTCTAATGCCGCTACAGCTTTAACTGCTTCTAATACGATTACAACTTCAATTACTTCTAATGCTGCTACAGCTACAGTTACTTCTAATGCTGCTACAGCTACAGTTACTTCTAATGCTGCTACAACTTCAGTTACTTCTAATGCTGCTACAGCTACATTTACTTCTAATGCTGCTACAGCTACAGTTACTTCTGATGCTGCTACAGCTACAGTTACTTCTAATGCTGCTACAGCTGCAGTTACTTCTGATGCTGCTACAACTTCAGTTACTTCTAATGCTGCTACAGCTACAGTTACTTCTCATGCCGCTACAACTTCAGTTACTTCTAATGCTGCTAC